ACATGTTGTTTGGGTTCGAACCAAACTAAAAAATTTTTTTTTTTTTTTTTTTTTACTTTTTGGTTCACTGAAAAATTAAAAAAAAAAATTATTTAGGGTCAACCAGAAACAATTTTCTTTCAGTATTGCCAACGAACCAAATAATCCAATATTCACATAGTGCTAGCGTCCTGATGACTTTACGCCCCTGCTGTGAAGAGAGCGAGGGCTTTCCACACACACTGGCCCTGATCCTGCAGTTGGGCCCATTACAACAAACTTCTCCATCTCATTGGGGCTCTGCACTGGTGCGGGGACCACCTGCATGGATCCATTTGCAGGACCAAGGCCGTTGTATGGTTCATTCAAGGAAGATCTTACTTACCTAAAAAACTGACTGTGTGACTTTATTCCCTCTTCTCTCCCCGCTCCTCCCTCCCCTAGGAAGTAAACCGGTTTTTCCTGAGCTCTTGCTACACTGTTATCAGCAACACAAAACAAACCAGAAGAAAACCCTAGAGAACATGAAAGTCATTTGCTATTGTTGCGATCTTGGGAAGAAACCTCATTTTCTTCGGGAAGTCTGAAGGCCTTTCTCAGCAAAGCTCTCGTCAGCGACTGCCTCTTCATGACCTTCCAACTTCTAACCATAAAGAAGTACAGCTACTGACTTCAGTGGAAAAGCCATGGGATCGGTAGATGCTGGTAGGTCTGAACTCTGGTAGCCTGTGTGCTGAACGTGAGATCCTGGGAAGGAATGTACCAGTCGTGGAAGCCTCATAGAGCTCTGTTGGACTCAGCTTACTAAAGCAAAACCTTCTACCTAATGAACTGGCCCAGTGGGATTTTCAGCAGCACTGCGTTAAGCAAGGTTAGGCTGTAGGAGGCAATTGGTATGTGTGTGTGCACAGAGCCTGGGGGTCAGGGCCAGGGCTTTTAAAATGTCTGACTCCAGCAGGTTCAATTTAATTCAATTCATGACACGAAAATTAAAACATTCAATGTCTTGGCAGATTAAATATTAGAAGGAAGAAACACCAGGGCTCTGGCATTAACATTGGGTTTAAGTCTAGCACATTCGTTTTCCAAACCTTAAAGCCCTTGTGACTCTGGAATGTTATTCACTGTTATTGGATATTACTAATATAGCACCCACAGTGCACCAGATGCTTACAGGCGGGTATGAAGACCCGGTCCCTGGCCTGAAGAGCTTATTCTCTGAGCAGACATTGTGCCAATGGAGGCTAGGAGAAGGGATTAACTGAGCCAAATCTTCTTGGACTCTATTTCTTACTTGGACATAATGGGTGAGATGTTACCCTGCAAGCTCCTGGGGCCAATGGAGGGAGGTTTGTGGTTGCACTGCAGCTGGAGCGCCTGGGAGGATGTCCGCCACGTGAGCCAGAATTGTAGGGCGCATACGTTAGAGCCATCCTCTCCCACCCGAGAGGTGCAGTGGCTAGATAGCAGTGTGGGCTGCCACAAAAGGGGGGCGCTCCTGGCCCTGCTCTCCTGTCTGCTGCCCCCTTCTGGGCAGCTAGTGCTACAGGGGATGCGGGGGGAGCGGGGACTGAGCTCTTGCAGGATTCTGACCCACCCAGGCCATAGGGATGAGCAGGCACGCCCCTCCTGTGTCCTCTATCCCTTCGCACATCCATACAGCGGCTGGCCAGAATCTGGCCCCATGTTTGCCACGTTTGATCAGTACCAAGTGAATTCAAAAGCAGCTCCCTCCTCTAACCCTAAAGAGGCAGACGCCCAGAGTAATCAGCGGCTAATGCTTCCCATGCTGTGTGCCATGCAGAGGTTTACCATGTTCTGGGAGATGGTTTCCAAAAGAAAGGAAGGGACTTTAGAGAGCAAACAAACTGCCCAAACTGCAGGCTGACGACACCCATGTTAAAGGCAGAACTCGATGGCTCCGGATTTAGCTGCCTTCGCATGAGCTGAGAAGTGCAGTGAAGGGGAAAAAGGGAGATTAACATCTTGAAATCTGATATTGTCCCTAGGCATTAGTTGCACAAAGGTTCCTGGGGAGCGCGGCACTCAGAGCCCCACATACATGGGGACAGTAGTTCTCCTTTAACCCCGACTGCCTCAAAAGAACAACCAGTGAGACAACAGAGAAGGGGCAAAAGACTGTGTCAGCCAGTGACTGTGAATATACTGCAGAAGAAGGGGCATCGGAAGGGAGCTTGGTCCTGTGAAAAAGACACCAGTGCAGGAATCAGGACACCTGTGTTCTGTTCTCTGAACTCCCCTTTGCATCATTGGGTAAGTCATTTTAATCACTCTGTGCCTCGGTTTCCCCATGTGAAAAATGGGGATAATAATACTTGTACACCCTTCTGCAACACTGTAAAAAGTATCTAGTTATTTTTTTACAAACCTAAATATCTCCGCTCAGTGGGCTTATGAATTTACAAATCACCTTGCTCACCACTCATGTGCAGCCACCTCTGAGGTGGAATATGGCAGCTGTAACAGCAACACTCCACAACAGGCTGTGGAGAGGGGGGAAGCTGAGGTGTGCCCTATCCAGCAGGACACAACACAGTGTTCTCCCGCACTGCACGCAATCCACTCTGCTGAAAACAAACATTGGCTCAGCCTATTCCCACTAGATCAATTAACCCAAGGAGCTCTTCTGAGGGTGAAGCCTGCACTCCCAGGGCTTGGCTGCTTCTGCAGCACCATCCGCCCCTCTTCTGGGGCCCACAGAAAATGCCTGGTAGAGATAAATTCAGCTCAGAGTCTTCCGCCAAGGGCCCTGTGGCAAACAGCTGACAAAGAGCAGCAGACGCAGGGAGCAGCTTTGCCTTTGTGAATACCAAAGCGAGACGGCCCCGTTAAACTCAAAGGACTATTGTCCCTTGTGTATTTCCGCTTGGAATAAAACGATGTTATTGGGGACAATTAATCTTCAAGATCAATTTATTGTCATGAGGCTAAATTTCAGTTGTGTCAGAAATGATGGTGCTGCGCTGTGAAGTGTTGTCTGACTAGGTGACCTCTGAATATGCCGCTCCTGCTGTGTTTTATAGTCATCGTTTTTGCTTCTAACCGTGTGTCTTTTTATGTCTCGTGTACCCATGGATCCGGCGCACTTACTGTGTCACACCCAAAATGCCCTTAATCAAGCCAAAACCTCACTGAAGTCATTTGACAGGACAAGTATCATTGTCCCCAATTTGTTGCTTGGAAGCGAAGGCAGGTGCACTAAGTGACTTGACAAAGATCACCCAGGAAGTCTGTGGCACAGCTGGGAGTTGAACCTGGTGCTTCTGAAGCCCTGGCCTGGGCATTGACCCACTGGACCATCCTGCCACTCACCCCCTAAGGGGGAGAAATTCTTGACTTCTCAGCAACACAAAGGCGCTGCTGGAGCTATTTCCAGCAAGCTAAAGGAATCTCCTGAACTGGACAGCTGTAAAGTCCCTGTCGGCTATTTATCTTCCAGTCAACCCAACTGATTTCCACATAATCCAGTGAAACTAGGTTACTAAATTCCTCCTTGCATGGAATGGATTTTCCTTACTGCCTGGCACACTATAGACACCCAGGGATACAGTAGATGCTGAGATCTTTTATAAGTAAGGGGATAAGTCAGTGAGCCAGCAGCTACTGATCTCAATTACCCAGTGCAACTCCAGAGTAACTCCACTGGCTTCCCTGGAGTTCTTCTGGATTAACAGTCTGGCCCCAAACTCCTCATTTAAACAGGCAATCGCTGCGTGTGTTATGGTCCAACCAGCGGCTTTCACTAAGGGAGGTACTTTGTATGTTAAAACACCATTGCAGTCATTGCTTTGAGAAGCAAATCCTCAGAATACCAGGGTTTCCCCCGTACTCCAAATATCTCCAAGAACAGTCCATTTCTTTTTGTCCCGCTGGAATGAATTCTGAGCTGAATCGTGGTGTTGCAGCTTCAGGAAAAAGCTCTTACAAAAAAATTATATTTTTTGTGGATGTTCCTTTTTTCTTCCTTTTACCAAAAGTGAAGAATAAACTTTTCCTGCAACTGAATCACTTTCCTCTAATGACAATGGCCATAGCTACAGGCTCAGAAGAACGTGGGTGGCAAGGGGGGCAAAACCAAAGGACCCATGAAGTTCTCTCTCATTTAGTCACACGGGGTGAAATTCCTATGCAGCAGGCTAGACTAATAATGTCTGTGTACCACTGAGTCTCCCTTACGTCCTCGAAGTAGGACTTACGTGGGACGTAGGCAGTGCACAGGCCTTGTACTGACCTGCACACAGGTGAATTTCATCCACTATGAAAGAGTGTAGGGTCTGCTGGAAAAAAAAATCTGAAAGATTATAAAACATGTTTGAAAATCAGGGTATTAATGTCTGATATGCCCACTCTAGTTTTGTGGTTTTGCAACGTTTTTGTCTTTATGTCGCCACCCAGTGGTTGTCCCGTGTAACTACACATACTATAGAGTAGCCAACAATTAAAGTTAGTTGACTAAAGCGCTCTGGTACAGCAGCACAGTGTAGACTGGTGTCAAATTTCTTCTATTAGGTATGTCACCAAATGGATGCCAATGGTTTTAAGCTCTTTAGAGCTTCAACCACAAGAGCAGCCCGTTACCCTATCCTGGTATATTTTAAAGACGTGATGCATATTTTACACGGTCAAATGGAAATGAAGCAGATCTCGCGTGGGCTGGGAAGGTGTATTGTGCATTGTGTTTAGTTCCCTGCACGGAGATGAAAATGTGACCCCAGTTATGTTCTCATGCACCTCAGGTTACACATAAGAAATACACATAGTAATTTGATGCAAAACCAATTCTGTTACAAGGAAATCCCTTTAGCCACATATGTTTGGGCTGCTATAAGCCACAGTGTGGTCCATGAAAAATTAAGGATAACACAGACCACAAATGTGTCATGGGCTGAGAGACCCATTAGGTTGATGCATGTTTTATGTGCATTTAGGGCATAATTCAATGCTCATTCATTTTAGATCACTGCCTCGGTGAAGTAACGGCACTGGACATAAATATTTCAATGACACACTCCGCTGCCCTTCTAAGTAGCAGGCTGCCTTCAGTTAATACGATGCCGACATAATCCACACCAGGTAAATACACGTGCAAGAGGGAGAACTGGAAGTTGTGGGCTCACCAGCTCCACAGTTCACAAAGAGCAGGGTCATTCTGAACCGTCACAGCAGCCTGCCCCACCACCCGCAGTGCATAGACAGGAGCAGAGCCCACCAGCCCCTCAGCTCTGGAACAGTTGCTTTCACGTGCCTGGGTCTTGCCAGCCGTTTGGCAGAGAAACATGCAGCTCCCGTAGAAGTTCAGAAACACGTGTCCTCTCTGATCTCTGACCATCCCAGTAACCCGGCTGTCTCTTGTCTTAGAGGTTTAAAAATTTGGGGCCATGAGCATTTTTCTGTCCTGTGTTTGTACAGCGCCTAGCACAATGGGGCCCTGAGCCAGGACTGGGGTGGCAAGGCACGACTGCAATGCCAGTAAACAATAAATAGCAAGAATGCTGCATTCTGTCTTTAGAAGAGTGAGAATCGTTCCCAGCGGGCAGTTTAGCAGAAAGCTCGTTTTAGACACCGCTGCCCATGTCTCATCGATCTACAGCAGCAGGTTGTAGCTTTGCCATGGGACGGAGCCCGGGGAGGGGTAAGAGGTAGACTGTAGCTCACCAAGAGTGTTTGAGATGGTGATCTGCAATGCACAGCCGCTGGAGGGCAGGGAGGGATCTCTGGAACGGTCCTTACTTCAGTCTGGATTAAGGGGAAAGGGTGGAACTTAGTCTCAAAGCAACCACCGGCTGATCCCAGCAGAGGACAACATGTTGGGTCTGCCCTCCAACCAGTGTAAACTGAAACCAAATCGCTGGATACTGGGGAAAAGAAATGTGGCCCTTTGATAACAAGGCGGGGATGATTCTGAAATCCCCAGGGCCCCATTCTCCCACTGTGGGAAGGAAACCCCGTCTGGAGGGGGCAGCCAACCCGCTTCAGGCTTGTAGGAGCTGTGGGACCCTCCAGAGCGGATATCGGGCAAGGTGAGATGCAAGATCCTATCACTGCCTGTTCCAACCAGGCAGTCTCCTCTCCAGGATCACATGTGGAGGGGAGACCGGATCCCCGGGTTTCACACAGGCAAACTCCCAGCCATGTTTTGCCTGCGTAACACAGAGAGAAGCTGAATAAGGCTTTGGAGCAATAACAATACATAGCAAACAAAACCCCGGGTCACTGGCCGCCTCAGTGGAGAAGCCAAGAGTTGAGTGGACGTGGGGACTGAATTCCCTTCCCATCCCTCCAGGTCAGGAGTGAGGCATGCTCGGGTCAGGGTAGGGGGGAGGTTGCACTATCCCCGCTCATGCTGTACCTGCTCTGTGGATCGACAGAGGACTTCACTCCCCCGGGTGATCAGTCAGCACCTTCCCCAGCTGCTTAATTATCATGGTGGTAATTGGTTAAAATGCATGTGCCACGCTGCCCTCTCCTGGGTGGAATGAGAACTGCTCAACCGTGCCCTGATAAGCCCTATGCTGCTACCGGTAACAGCAGTTCTCCATCAGCTCATACGGTAGCGGCGTGTGCATTTGGAGCAGGAGTGGCCGCAGTCTATACCCAGCTGTCTCTGGGAGGTTCCAAACAGCCACGTTCCCAGCCACACAGGACAGCAGTGCACTGCAGGAATCCATCAAGAGCCCTTATTTGCAACACTTACGGCATTATTGTAACAGCACTTTGTATTCTCAACACACTGTTCCTTTTGCAGGCGTAGCGTGTTTGCTGCACAGCACCCAAAATGTCTGGTGATGAAACAGCAGTGATGAGCCGAGATACAGACCCTGCCTCTTGGTGTGAGAGACGCGACATGATTCTCTCTCTGGGATCTGAGATTGTGCATCCACCTCACCTGAAACCGTGCCTGGAATGACATCAACCAATTTCAGTCACTGTTTCTGGTGGAGTGGGTAGTCCACTGCGTCACCTACGACTTGCTGTGCCTGACGGCTCTCGTAACACATCCAAAGTGCACCCCCGCTCAGGAAACCTGCTTTCTTACCGGATTACGAAGGACCAAGCCAATCATTAGAGTGTGAGCCAAACTATGCTGGTTTGAGATACTGCGTGCTGCACTCCCCCAATTGCATAGTAAGTACTGGAGGCAGCCCATTGGAATCTGGCCCAGGTCAGAGGAATCTAAACACTATCATCTGATGACTGGTTGGTGGTCCCTATGCAATACGTCTGGTGGACTCTGCCCATTTCCGGGTGGGTAAATATCCACACAACAAAACCCACCCTCACAACTGTCAGTGTCAGTTGTGAGGCCAAGAACCTAATGGTCACGGTAGCCAAGAGGTCGTTCTAAGTGAGGGTAGAGGCATATTGGCAGAAAATGTTGTGGAGGAAGCTTCTATTGCTACACCTATTCCACGGTTAGAGGGCTTGAGTCTCCAGCACTATCCGGAGACTAAAGCAAATTGCCATGTCCCTTTCCAGCTGATTTTCCCTGTTCTCTGCAGATTGCGAGCTCAGCAAGGGGACTCGTTCCAGGACGGCTGAGCGAGGCTGCAGGACTGGCAGGTCGAGAGCAGGGACTGGACCCTAACTCTGCGCTCAGGAATAACTCAGAAAAGTCAATGGAGGGGCCTGGGTGTGAAGCTGGTGCCGGGGGAAACCAGGCCCATCAGGCCTGTAACTTGCTGGAAAGGTGGAAGGCAGAGAAAGAAGAAGTATGTGTAATGAGGCAGCAGCTTGATTGTCCACTGACTGCACCCGATACCCAGAGAAAGGTGAATGCGACTATGTGAGAACTCGCAATTACTTTGTAAATAACAAGGCAAAGTGAAAGACACGGGGAGAGCCAGCCCCATGGTTTTGGCTCAGCGTCCAACCTTGCAGCTGCCCCAGGTAAATCTCAGGTAAATCTCTCATGGACTAGAGTTTTCCCCAGGTCTAAGCGGAGTCAACACCGGGCCTGTCGTCCAAGGTGCTGTGTGCCAGTCACTCTCCCACCCTTCGGCAGCTGTTCATTTCCCTGACGTCTGTAGGTCCATCAACGGCATCTGAGAGTTCTGAATACGAAGCAAGGGGCAGGAACAGGTGCTACTCTGGGTAGCCCATTCTTGATAGGCCTTCAGGCATCAGGCGGGGGATAGCTCAGTGGTTTGAGCACTGGCCTGCTAAACCCAGGGTTGTGAATTCAATCCTTGAGGAGACCATTTAGGGATCTGGGGCAAAAAAAAAAAAAGTTGGGGATTGGTCCTGCTTTGAGATCCCTTCTAACCCTGAGATTCTATGGTAATGAACATGTTGCATAATAATCATGGATTCTTCACAGTCTTGCACCTTCTGTAGCCAGAGGGGTGTGCAGCATGGCTGTGAACTCCTCCCACTCCCATTCAGTGTCAGGTTTGGTCTACACTTCACAAGTTTTACTGCCATAAGTGTATCAGTAAAGGGGGTGGTGTCTTACCAACACAGCTGTGCTGGGAAAAGTCCTGGGGTAGGCACATTATACTGGTACAAGATCCTTTAAACTGGTCTAGCTTATTCTGCTTCAGAGCAGAGTGAACAACGCCAGCATAAGCATTTTTGTACTAGCACAGCTGCATCTACACTGGGAAAGTTTTGTTGTTCTAACTGAGCCAGCAAATCTTTTAAATGTAGACAAGACCTTGGTAGAGTTTTGCAGCCTTTTATATTCACTCCCCAAGGGTGGGAATGGCTATGGGAGGGGCACAGAAACCTTAATAGTCTCGGTAGGAATATGGAGTGACACTGAGTTCTCATCTTTCTCTCTCTAGGTACTGAGGTAGCTCCGGTTCCCTGACCACACCAGCACAAAAACCAATTGAGAGAAAGCAGACAGTATAACTCGTACTAGTCCAGGATACAGTCATACACAGTAATAATAAAGGTTAGTAATAGTATAATAGTGAGCAGTTAATGCCAAGTGTGGTGGACATCTTATTGTAGAAAACAGAGCTGGAACAAACAAGGTCTCTGTATTAGACTGCTTGGGGCAGGAAGTTTGCCCATTCTATGCTCGGCCTGCACTGAGCCCACTTTCCCACTCATCAGCTAAAATACTCTTGCTCTAGTAACTTATCTGTCTCCACAGCCTGGGACAGAGCTTTTCCCTACAGGATATTCTCTAGCGCTTTTGAACCACAGGGCATCCGTCATCTCTCAAGCAGTGGTGACAAGACCATACCATTCCCTGGCTTCTTCTCTGAACAATGAACGGAGTCAAACCAGGAACAAAGCACACCTTGCAATACAATGATTTGGTTTTACAGCTTCACGTGTAACAAACCCAACCAGACGAGAGCTGCAAACAATTTCTCATGAGCACCCTCTCCCATTGCAAACGCATTTCACTCCAGCAGAGGACGTTCCCCTTCCGCAACCATTTGGACCGGCACATTGTTCTCCCAGGAATATTCCCAGAGAACAAAGTTGCCAAGTTTGCAGACTGTAGGTGGTACATTGTATATAGGACAGGACATTGCTTGAGACTGCAGCAGAGCAGAGCAGGCCAGGCCTCCCCGGAGCCCAGCAACGAAATAAGCTGAGAAGCCCTTGGTTGCTCCCTTCCCAGGGATGCAGCAGCACACGCAGGTGCTCTGCATTAATGACTGTGGTGTTGATGACAGGCAATAACAGACTAGGAGATGTTCTGATGCTCTTGGCATCCACGAGCACGTGTCACCTCCCTAGGGAGAAGAGAAAAACTGAGCAACATAAAGGAAGCAAAATACTCACATACTAGCTGAGAGAGAGGGAGTTGCAGCCTGCAGTAATCAGAGACCCAGCAGCCATCCTAGGGCTGGAGCCAGCTCTCTTCCCCAGATTTAAAGGGCCAGCTGCCAGGAGAGCATGCTGGGAAGGGCTCTTGCAAGCAGTAAACCCAAAGTATGGGACTCAGAAAGCAGGAAGCTCTTAGTGAAAGCAGGATGAGTTCTGCCTGCATGAGGGCTAGGGAGTTGGATGAAAGATAACCTGGGGTTTTCAGGAATTGCAGCCCTGGGTTTGAGCTAGTTTGAGCTTGTGTTTGTGTATTAAATAGTCAGATTGCTTTTGGACATTAATTGATTCCCTTACATGAGATTTAATGGTCACCACACATCAAGGTTTTATCTGGTATGGGAAACTCATAATTTTCAACACAGCAGGGGAACAGCGTTCCCCAAAATCTCTACTGAGGGTCCCAGCACGGAGGCGCTGAACAAGCCCTTTCAACCTAAATTCTTCCCCCAGAGCGCTCAACCTGTGCACGGAATGACGCAGGTGTCCTGGGGAAAAATAGTATGTGATCATGTAATTAAAGACTGTAGCATGATGCATACACACAAGGGGAGCTGAATTCAGGGTGCACAGGCAAGCTGAATTCTGGCATTTCCGAAGGTTTGAGTGCTTGGCTTTGCCACCTACAGAAAGTTCTTTGAGCATAGTTCTTTGGTGTGTAATTGTATAAAGAAAAGAACGCATGCACAGGTCTTTGGTGCAGTATCATTACAAAGAAAGGTGGCAAGAATCCTTAGGAATTAAAAGTGTTAAGAACTAAAGTTAGGTGTTCCTACCCTCTCCCCTATAAACCCACATCAACAACTTGTATAGGAAATACAAGCGCACCATCCCATTCCAATAGGGGGCTCCCTGGGACCCCCAGAGGATGAATTGTCACGGTTGCTGGTTTCCAGCCATAGGCCTGTAGAAATTAAGAACATTATTTTAGAAATGAGATATGGAGCCTTCTGCCTAGGTGACTGGTTTAATTAAAGTTACCAGGAGGTCACCACAAGCCATTTCCCTTGGATAGGTGTTAAGTGGCCTACATAAAATTGGAGGGGGTCGTGGAGAGAAAAAGGCTGAGAACCCCTGGACTAGATGACCTCCTGAGGTCTCATCCAACCCTCATCTTCTGTGATTCTCTGAGGCAAACCCGAGCGAAGAGAACATTTGCTTCATGTCTCTGTGTGATTTCGACGGGACCAGCGTCCTTTCCCCCAGGAACGATGCGAATGCTGCTGTCGCCTTCATTTAAAAGCCCCGCAGCCATTGCACGGAGCTGCACAAGGACAGGTCACCTTCCAGTTGCTGCTTTTGTGCCTGTTCCTCTTGAATCCGTCGAGCCAGATTCTGCACCGCATTGTAGAGCAATTCCACTGACCCCCGGGGAGTTAGTCCAGCTTTCTAGGGGTGCAAACGTCCTCAGAGCTTGGCCTCTAGCTTGCCAGGTGCATCACTATTGCCTTTGTCTGTCTGTCTGCTGGGCCCAGCTCACCCCCGGGACCCTGCTGCCCTCAGGGCTCCTGTCTTTGGAAGGCCAGACCCCCAGTCCCTGCCTCCCTCCCAGAGACCACCAACAGCTGCTGTTCCGCCCTGTGCCCCAGGGGCTATAATTATTCATCCGCTTTCCCCAGGGACACTTTACCCTACCCCTGCCCCCCGTGGCCTGAAGAGCAAAGTCTGGGTTCCTGGCCAGCACTCCTGTGCATCAGGCCCTTTCCGCAGTGCTGGTCTGACAGCTGTTGGGGCGGGTGCGGGCTCAGCAAGGAGATTTCATGGAGTTACCCTTATCCCCCTGGCTCCCGCCCTTGGGCTTGGAAGAGGAAAAAGCAAGGTCCTTGCCAAGCCCAGCCCAAGCTAGAATCCTCCTGAGCGATTCTCCCCCACCTGGGTTGTCACCGACCTCTGTGCTAAGCGGGAGTTAGCTGCTACCAGATCAGAACTCTGCACTCACGTTACACTGCTCCGAACACGTGTTGCCTCTGAACTCATGTGGAAAGGGCTATACAGGGTGCAAGGCAGGAGAGAATCAGGCCCTCTGAACTCCTCTAGCCCATGCACAATTCTCAAGACACATTTCAGCTGCCCCCTGTGTCTACACCTGAGCTGTGATGGAAGCAGTTTGCATTGTGCAGGTCTTGCGTTCCTCACTGGATAGGGTTACCATATTTTGTGCCTCCAAATGGAGGACACTCCACGGGCCCCGGCCCCGCCCCCGGCCCCGCCCATGCCCCAACTCCGCCCCTTCCCCAAAGTCTCCGCCCCCTCCCCTGCTTCCCACGAATATTTAATTCGCGGGAAGCCTGTAGCAGGTAAGGGAGATGTGGGGGGAGG